GGATAAAGTAATGCATCATCAGATTATCCAGAGGTTAAGAAACCCTTATCACATTTTAAGTGGCAAAAAGCCTCTCTTTTTGAGATTTGGCAGCAAAACATGCCATGAATGTCCATAAAGTATCACATTTCTTACCAATATTTATGGTTTTTTTTCAAAAAAAAAAAAAAAAAAAAAAACTACAAGTTGCTAATAGTGTAATGAGCATGAAAAAAAAATTCCAACACAAAATGGATAATGTAATGTGCAAAAAATTTCCAAACATTATGGGGAAAGTAATGATAACAAGTGGAAACTCACTACTTTATCTTTACACTACCATTATGGGTAATGTAACTACCCAGTGTTGCCGGAATCTGACAAAATATAGGGCCAGGCTTCCAGCTCCATTGTCCTTGACAACTCACCATCAAATGGTTTCCCCCCACCTTTGAGTCTGTCCTGTCTGGGAGCATCCCGTCAGCTGTTGGACCCTTGTTTCTATGAAAGCTGGACATTGATCAACAGGCGTCTCTCCTGTGTCCGCTGGCTCATCCCATTGAGGCGAAGACTTCTTTGTTTTCTGAGGTGTTTTCGGAACACACATACAGTGGTGTTAGAGAATGACCAACTGCAAAGGATCCCCTGCGCCAAACTAATTGGATCCAGAGCCGTTGCAAAATTGCACCAATTTCCAAGTAATCCTGAACCTAACGCAAAACTTCCTTGGATGATTTCAATCAACATCAAACAGTTGATTTGAACCCAAATCATAGAGCCGATGAGCTTTCGTTCCTCAGTTTATATTTTCCTGACCAAGGAATGACACATAATTGCAAGAAAGCTAAGTACTAGTCTTGACTGTGGTGTGCAATAGTAGCTTCAATCTGGATTCTGTAATCAAGAAATGGGAATGGCAACCTGATATTCCAGCTGGTTTGCCTGCACTTTTCTTCAGATCCAGTGCTATATCTTCTATTCTCTGTTTGTGGTAGATAGGTCTTGCCCTGCAGAGGCTGCAGGACACAGATAAATACCATATTTCAACTTTCCAAAAATCCACTCAACCCGGATAGCTTACCAGTCCGTTCAAAATCATAGGCTTTCATCATCTGTCCAATTACATGCTAAGTGCCTTACCAACCAAACACATTGTAACTTGATGAAATGGGTTCTTTTCAGATATTAAAAGGTACACATGTTATTTCAAGATGATACAGGCGATCTGCGGACAAAAGAATCTCAGAACAGGATCATTCAATTATCCAAAAACGGTTCGAGGATGTTGAGGAATTTCAAAGGTTGGTCCACCATAGGCAAGTGTCCAGCCCCGGGAACAGTCATAAATTTCACAGGTTTGCCAGCCTTATTCAATCTTCTTGAAAGTGCTTCCAAGACTTGAGGTAACGAGCCATCTCTTTCACCAGCAAGCAACAACACTTTCTGATGCTCATCACAAGGGATTCGATCTTCGTCGACTTGATAATCGTATAGAGCAGCGGCGCCTGATTCAAAGCCTCCAAGATCAGTCTCTTCTATCATCCTACGTATACAGGTTGAGGTTTGGTTATTGGGTTGATTCATGTGCGATTCAATCGGAAACCATCTGGAGATGGTCGCTTCGGATAACTTTTTGAATCCGTCCTCTGAGCCTTCTGCCAAATCGATTCGCGTCTTCCAGACATCTCGGGCTCCGGAGGGCGAGGAAGGTTGTGTATCGCAAACAACGTAGTGCTTGAAAAGATGGGGACTTCGGGTAGACATTTCCAACGTAGTTGCCCCACCTTGAGACACTCCAATCAAGCCATGCAATGGTGTCTGTAAGCCCAGCTGCTCCACAATAGCGGATACATCATCAGCTAGCTGATTGAGTGTGCAATCAGTCGTGGGGACTCCGGACTACAGCCATGAACACACAAAGAAATTTGATGGTAGCAAATCCAACATGTATGGTCAGTATTCCATTGTCTGAGACGGGCGGTCAGGTCAATCCTTAGATATTCTTGTCACTCAACTTGTCCGTGTCCACGTTGATCGAAACAGATCAGGTTATATTTCGTAGCTAGGCTCGGAAGAATCCAGTTTCACATTGTCATGTTGGTGAGCAATGAATTACAAAACATAAGCGTTGGTCGAGAATCCAACAGTTGATATCGAACATTCAGTCGAGTCCCGTCCCTCATGACCAGCTTCTCGAATCGAGTTTCCAAGCCAGGTAAATCCACGGAATCATCCCGATCATCTCCGATCTCGAGACCAACGAGCATTCGAGAAACCATGTTATATCCTGATACTGTCGCGGCAGCATCGAAGAGCATCTTGGTCACTTGTTCCGGTTCATTGCCGAGACGACTGAATTCGTTCTTGAGTTTATCAAACGTCAGATCCCTGACTTGGATTTCCCTTGTCAAGCTATCCGTAAATGCCAATCCAGCCAGATGCAGATCTGACAATACGACATGAGACCGATCAAGAGTATCGGTGAGTGGCTTGATGATATCACGAATCCGCATCAGTTGTGGGGTCGTCAGACCAGCGCTTCTTCCTACTTTTTCGTGCTGAATCCATTCGTAAGGGGCTGAGTTTAACGCGGCAACCCTAAGAATCTGTTAAGGGGTGAATTGCGTTAAAATGAATGGATCTAGCGATTCTTGATTGATAAGAACATGATGCATATTACCAAAATCTCCCTGAAATCGTCGGGTAGACTACTGTGGGTGCGAATGGCGCCAAGGAGACTGTTCCAACCACTCTACACATAAAAATCAATTGTGGTTTGGGAAACACAATGAAGGAAAGGTAAAAGATTCTAGATTT